AAAAAAAAAAAAAAAAAAACCTCACAAATGCTTTCTTTTCTTCAAGCAGTAAACACGTAGGCACTAACAGCAGCACAATTCAGGTTGGAATCTGTTGCTGTGGGAATTAGGGAGGCATCAGAGGAAGCTGAAATTTTGCAGGAAACTGTATCAAAGGGAAGAGACCTCAGCAGATACCAGGTGGACTGGGGTGTAAACATGGACGGCCTCTTTGAAATCTCAGAGTTATGGAAAAAAACATAAATCTATATTCTCCAGGACAGTGGTTCTCAATCTTTTTCTAGCTTTCCGAGTACCTCCACGATCGTTGACATTTTTAAAACGGTAACACAACAAGACTTGGACTTTCTTAGTTTGTCAGATTTCTTCTTGCAAGTATCAAAACAGAAAGAAAAGACTCTCTTATCAGAGAGGCGGTGAGTGTTTTGGTTGATAAGTGCAGGTTTCGTACATTTGCTATGAAATCCAACATGGCTGCCATGAGTTTCAACGATCGATAAGCAGTTTACATATAAAAGAAAATTTATTTGCATCAAAGAACTTTGCTTTCTTTGTCCTTTTAACACGTTTTAGACAAATATAAACTATAATTTGATGCTTCCCAAAAATGTAATCAGTGTTTTAAAGCAATCGACAAAAGCTACATGTAGTATATTTAAAGAATGTAATATACCGCAATTTAAATAAATGGATCAATTGGGCTGGTTTCTCAGAAGACTAGCATTCGGCTCATGAAGGAGACACGGAGTCTGAAGATTTGCAGTGTGCCAGTGAGTTATATTCACAGTGAAAGACAACAATGATTATACATACTTACAACTTCAACAAGACAGACAGACATCTAAAAGACCATAAAAAATAAAAATAAAAATATGCGCAATACCAAGAAAGAAAAACAAAATAAATGACAAAACCCAAAATAACTGGGGTACACAGATCCCAAGACAAGTTGGCTTTGGGTAAGGTCCAATATGGAGAATCAGGAGTCAGGATGAAACAAAAAGTATTCTCAGGCTGCAAGGAGCCTCCTACCATCCTGGCAGGAGAGCGGAAATCTTCACACATAAGTGTAATCTTTTCTTATGGCTCTAGGCCTGGACATTTAGCTCGCCATCTTCTGGCCTGTATAAATAAACAGGACCAATAAACATTGAAATCCAATTCAGTCATTCTAATGTGTACACAAATCCATATTCAATATATAAAGTTCATTATCAATCCAATCAATATACAATTTAGAAAGGTTAAAACTTCATTATTCAACCCAGTGTGGGTTAGTTCAGTCCCACACAGCCAAGCATAATGCTACTCGCTACGTCAAAACAACACTCACCAGATCCGCCGTTTGTTTTACACATAACTGACATCTCTCCTTGCTGGTCTGGTGGTAGTCGGCTCCTATGACGTCATTATAGTTAGACGATTTTTATACAAAATAAAATAAGGCGAAGAACATAAAGAACGACGCTCGACAAACCTGTAGCTCTGCTCCTCCCAACGCATCTAGTGTTCAAACTTCCTGCTCAAATTAATATAGCCAGCCGATAGGCTGCAATACTACACGTGACCTTGGAAACTGAGCCGTGATTGGTTGCTTCATGGTTTCGAGAGAGCGACACTACTAACAGGATTATCATGTGATTTAATAAAGAGTTGGAGAAGCCGGAGAAAATTAGTAGATGAAAGCTAGAAATTTACACCCAGGTTACATATACTTCACATTTTGACACAACAAAAACAAATAGGGTAAATATAAAATAAATGCATCATTTCTGGACTGAGATGTCTGATGTTGTTCCTGGGATCTGTTTTAGCCACTGCTCCAGTTTGGGGCTGACCACCCCGAGGGCCCCGATGACCACAGGCACCACTGTGGTCTTCACCTTCCAGGCCTTCTCCAGTTCCTCTCTGAGGCCCTGGTATTTCTCCAGTTTCTCATGCTCCTTTTTCCTGATGTTGTGGTCACTTGGTATTGCTACATCCACCACAATATATATATATATATATATATATATATATATATATATATATATATATATATATATTTATTTATTTATTTATTTTATCCGGTCTTGTTCTTGTTCTTGTTTGTTGGTCTTGTTCTGGAGGAGGGGTACAAAAAATTACAGAAAAGTTTGAGAACCGCTGTTCCAAGAGATAACACATGGAGACCGCGCTTTACAGCTAACAAGCTGCACTAATCGTGCTCATACCTAACACAAAACACTAAGGACATCCGAATATTAACTGTGTGATCATATAGTAATTAATTTATATATAAATAATAAACTGACCACTTAAGAATGGAAAGACTAGAAAAAAAATTAATAAGCCATGAGATCAGTAAAGATTTTTGTTAGTAGATCAAAGCTCTACAAAAAAAATTAAGAGAACAACAAAACTCAAACCACAATAAATAAATGAATCACAAACTGCAGCATTTCCATAAATACTGAGTTGACTGTAGCTTTACTGTTACGTGCAACAGTAGCTTAAATGAGGGGCTTTCTGAAATTGTTTTACCTGAAGCGATTTTGAAATGTGTCGCCATCAAGTGGTGTTTTGTGTCACTATCTGCTTTTACACAAAGGGAAATCTACATTTTACTTGTCCATCATGGAAAGAAACCTATTTAATCATCTAAAGGGAGCATAGCATGAATGTAGCATCTTGCTTCAGGCTTTGTTGTTTTTAGCACAAAGCTAACCAGCATTTTGTTGGTTGAATTGCATGATGAGTGCCATTCTCATTCCTTTTTTTTTTAAATGTGAAAAGAATTTCTTTTAAAAACAAAACAAAAAAAAAACAAAACTATTGGTCCTGAACATATAATGCTGGAAGAGAACAAGGCATAAAAAGAATGCAGCGAGATTTTTTCTTAACACAAAGATTCACACATGCACAAAAACAAACAAAAAAAAAACACAAAAGAAAGCCAATCCAGTTGAAAAAGTAAAGATTTGTCAAATTTTTAACATTTCAGATAGAAAAACAAAAACGTCGCAGTGGTGCCAAAGCCTGTAATGAGTTCTCACGCCTTTCGGTGCCAAGCAGGATCTGTAAACACTCGTGTTTTGTTTGTTGTGTCAGACGGTGTTTCATACTATGTGATCAAATGAAATTTAATTTATTGATAATGTATTATAAATGCCAACTTTGTGCCATATCATCTCACCCATTTTCTTTCCTCCAATCAGACTGCAGAAGGCGACATGACGGTTATCTTTATCTTTAGTGTTCTTTGTTGTTTTTTTCCTCTCTGCTCAGGGATATCAGGTTGTGATTCCTGTTACAGAGCTGAAGGTCTGTGACACAGAGAGAGAGCTTCTTCACGTGTTAGGTGTTCTTTGATGATTGTGGATGTTTATTTAATTATAGAACACGTCTAGCTGAAACCGTCTGTTGTTTTGTAAGAAGTACAATGAAGACTTTTCCATAATAAAAGTAAAACGATTTTTCGAGTGAGAGTGTTTCTTCTTGGAGCTTAGATGGAACAGTCAAGAAGCAGAAGAGCGGGGGACACAATTTAACAGCTTTTCACGTCTTGATTCACGTCGGAAAACAGTTTGAAAAAAAAATCTCAGTTTGCTATGAAGTACCGCAAAAAGAAATATACAGCAGTATTTTATTCTACAGGTGTATATAAACAGATTAAGCCAATTAAACCTCTAAAGTGTGTATAGAAACACATTGATCCATTGGCTGAACAGCTTCTAAGAAAGTTAAGGAGAGACAAGCTGATGAAAACATGACTGAGATCTTTGAAATCTTAGTCCAGTTTAATTCCCCTACAAACAACAGAGCATAATGACTGACATTCAGTCAGTGACACACACACACACACACACACACACACACACACACACACACACATGCAGATGAGCTAATTAGAGATGGATACGGAGCCATTATCGTCATGTTGATACCATCAAATCCAACAGGCATCAAAGTGTTTGTAGATAAAAAGGCAGCCTTGGAGAACACCAAGCGGTAAATATTTAAGAAGAGATCAAACATCACTCGGTTAATAGCTTGGAAGAAACTCAAAAACAGTTTCAAAGTTTCAAACTTTGTTGTTTTTTTTTTAAGCCCAAAATGTTTGGGTATTTTAAAAAAATGTAAAAAAAAAAAAAAAAAAAAAAAACAACAACCCAGGATGGAGTATGAGGTTTTCATTTGCAGATAGAAAGCTCTTACATGAATAGCATAAAATTCTAGCTCGTATATAATGTTAGCAGTAATGAAATGGTTCTGAATTTAACAATATACAAAAAAAAAAACAAAAAAAAAAACAGAATAGCAAGAAACACAAAAAAAAAATGGATTGGGATTTTGTTTTAATTCATGTGGCGTATGATGGGAATAAATAAATAAAGTCTCATACATAGTTTCTCTGATATTTGCTTATAAAAGTGAATGAGATTGTAGGTTTTGTGACATACGTTTATGCACAGCTCCTTCATGATGCAACAGCGCACTCTGCTGGCAGTTTTTATGAAGTCCATCTAATTTGATTTATTTTACGTCTCGTTTTTACATTAAATTCTAAGGTATCAATCAGATACGAATTCACATTAAACTCTATTTTTGAAATATTTAATCATGTTAGCTAGTAGGGTGGTAACTTTAAGAGTCTTTTTTATATATTATTTCAGATTGCAATTCCCTTCTCCCCTCAGGGGTTTCAATTACCGTACTACTTCTAATCAAACACACATTTATGCTGAAAAACCTCTCTCTATATATATACGAAGATTGATTTTTACAGAATATCCTTTTATTCTTCAGAGTAATTACTGCTATAAACTAAAGTGGGGAAGTTTAAGCTTTAGTGTTTTCTGCTCTCATTACTTCCTTTGGAGCCTTTATTGTTTTCACCTGTCAGCAATAGAAAAGCAAAAGGTAAGCAGATGTATGATTTTAATTTGCATTAAAAGACTGTACAGCATGTTGGAGCTTAAGATTTTGTTTTGTGGAATTGTCAGAAGCTGTAATATGAAATCTGCAAAATCCATCTATTTATGATTTTGGTAGAAGCCAGGATCTACCTAATACTTCAGAAAGCTTAAAATAAATAAATAAATAAAAGATTGATAATAATTCAGGTTAATGACTTATAATATAAACATGCATCTGCATGTTTCTTCCAGACATGCAGTCAAGAAGCAGGAGACCTTAATGGATCAAAAGAGGTTAAAACAGGAATGAAGCATTGATGTGGTTCTGCAACAGTTTTCTTTTGAATCTCTGAATACCTAAATCTTCATTTTGTGATCGTAACATTTTGTAAAATCATAAACTTCTAATGCAAATACAAAAAAAAAAATTATATAATAAATTAGTTATAAAACAAACGGTTTCCACTGTAAACGATTAAATCTGGGCTTCAAATGAAATGTGTGCAGCTTTTCTCCTAAACAGACTAAAGTTCATACTCAATAAGATATTCCGGATATATCTGATTTGGATCAAATATGATGAATATCATGGGATCGTCGAGATCATCCACACAGCTGTCGTGAACATTTTCAAGACTTCCATGATCTGGTTTACAGAAATAAAACTCTCCAGGTTTTGATTTCCCAACCATCACCCGAGCAAGAAAGATCACTTTAGTGAGTTTACCGTTTGTCAGAGCTCTAGTGGTGGTACTGTATGAGTTTGCAAAGAATGCATAAGTGGTAAAATATATCCCTGCAGAGAGAAAAAGGGGGAAAAATTATTAGATCACCTTAAAAACAAGCAAACATTTTGTATTGAATTCTATTCACTTTAGCAACTACATTTAGGTTAGGATATTCCTAATCATAACCTTAACCAAAGCTTAATTCACACCATACCTCTAAATCTATTGAGTAAAGCAAATAAGTGAGGTTGAGGTCCTCACATTCTGCAAAAGGCCCCACTTCATTGGTGAAAAGGGTGAAAGTGGTCCTCTATATGTAATATATACAAGTACACACACACACACACACATACACGCACACACACACAAACATACAGGTTTGTATATTGATTTCATTACCTTTGCCATAAAGTTTCCCATGCTGACCAGCCAACCGTAAATCAAAGTTATTTGTGCAAATGCTGGCAATATTTTCACTGTCAGTGCCGTGGAAAAGCCGTCTTTCTTGAATGTTGTTGGTACCCTTAAGCCTCATCAGTTGTTTCTTTTTTCTTTAAAAATAAATAAATAAATAAATAAATAAATAAATAAATAAATAAATAAATAAATAAAAAGTTTGCTTTGTTTGTTTTCAAGCTAGAGGAGGGTGAAAAATATATAGTGCACTTACATCTGAAGACCTTTCTTACCTGCAATACATTTCCCAGAGGTCCAAGTTTTGTATCCTTGTTATTGATACGATGGTCTCATTCAGGAGTCCATTATGTCTCGCATAATGAGCCACATCCTGATACTCTGGGGTGCGTTTATCCAGCGGGATCAGCTGTGCGACATAAAGGATGCAGAGGTGTAAGGCGTGAGCAGAATAGAAGGTTAAAAATGCACAAGTATCATTAATGTACCATTCAAATATTAAGTTAGAGAAAAATATCTGCACGTCAAAAAATGTGGTCCTTGGAGCTACACCAAACAAGCCCATGTGTGTTTTACCCTGCAGTGTCACTTGGAAGTTTTCTCAGTTTTTTACCTGGTAAGGAGCTGTGGCATCGAAATGTTCCCAGGCAACAGGTGGGGCACAGAAACAGGAACACCTGTGGAAGGAGCAAAGTCTCAACTACAGCCATGGTTTCACTTTCATTTAGTGTAAAATCAAACTGAAGTGACAGAGTTATGGTAAACTGGACCCCACCTATTCTCAAGATTAAAGTTGCGCTGGATTCTTCTTTGTTTTCCTGTGGTGAGGTCCGTCTGCAACATCACTGCACGGGAAAAAACACACACGCATTTTAGCCAATTTTCACTAGCAGCAAACCAAAACTGAGATTAAATGGGTGTTCACACACACACACACACACCTGAAAAATCTATTTTGCTCACGTAGCTGCCGGCATCTACAAGCATAAAGGATTGGTCACTCAAATAGAATTTCTCTATATCCTCGCTCCTTACACGATTACTGGGATCATCCTGAAGAACAAAAAGAAGAACATTACCGTATTGATCAAACAACAACTCTTAAAAAAAAATGAGATAAATGTTTACCTCAAATCTGTGCCACCTCCCACAATCTGCCTGGTAATACCAATGCCACGGAGTGTCAGATGTGTCCATATTTTCGTCTTCATTTAGAGCAAACATTGTGCCTACCTGTCTCTCTGTCACTCATATGACTAATTTAATTTGGCTTTTGAAGTTTTTGCCTCCTGAGCTAAACCACTCCCACTTAGGTAGGACGGCTGCTCTACACCCAGTTAACTGTGTCAGAGTTTCCATTCAGTTTGGAAATGTGTGGAATTAAATTTAAGTTTCTAGGTCTAGATAAATAGAACAAAAAAAAAAGTGAATGTTTACGGGCTCCTGAAGTAAATGACTCCCTTTAATTTAGGTTAGCTTTCACCAAGTGAGGACAAAAAGTTGGGTCTGTCAAAGGCTTCATGTCTGATGAGGTCCATAAAAGAATGTGTAGAATATTCTGTGATGAAAAGTATTTACAAAGAGCAACACACCCACAGGTGGGTGTATGAGCTTTCCATACACCCATGCTAACGCTCACTTGTGACGTAAGGCAACAGCAGTGGGTTTTTTTTTGTACACAAAAGAAGGCAAAGACATATTTGCATAGAACCATTGGGAAATATGATAATGTATAGCTCTTCAGAGAAAAGTAAATAAACAGTTCTGTTCTTTAAGTGTATTAAGAGAACTATGAAAAATTTTAATCATCACATTAAAAGAAAAACATGAAAATGTCAATGACTTGGCTAGTTAGCTTTAGCCTATTCATTGGCTAAAACTAAATCTTTAGTTTTGGGCCAATGAAAGTTCAAATTCATTTCATATCGAACAGATGTTGACTCTTGGGTTACATTTCATCACCATGGTTATATTGGAAAATGTGCAAGGGCTTCCTAATCTTTGTTAGGGGAAATCATGAAAATGATGAATAAAAGTGCACTGAGGAACTTGAGGAACCCCCGACACACACATTTACATATTTACCTTTACTATTTACTGTCAGGGCTGTGGTAATGTTCGACAACCTGTCTAGCAACAGCTGACACGCTAGGAAACAATTTCATTAACAGAGCAAAAGCGAATTTGGAATGTGACTTTCCAAAACGCCAAGAAGAGTAAATAAGAGAGTTTGATACATGAATGGCAACATATTACACACCTAAAGGTAGCCAATTGCCAAAGGTGCACAGGAAAATACAGACAAGTTAAAATTACACGTAGCACAAACCACACAGAAATCACTGGAGCTCTGGATGTGTAAGGTCATTTTCCCTTTTAAATTTGAAGTTTTCAGCAGGGTCTATTTGGGCTCTGGCTCAACCAATCAGCAAACACTGTTCACTTAAATGCTGATTGGTTAACATGTTGATATCGAAATAGGTGATGTTTTTATCTGTATTATAGTTTTTACTGGTAATTCAAACATTATTGAACTGAGTCATAATGTCTTGCTTGGTACAACAGCGCCCTCTGCTGACTGATACTTTTGATAAACCTCATCTAATTTCAACTCCTCTAAAAAAGAAAAAAAACATACAGGTGAAGGAGGTAAATGAGTAAGGCAAAGCACCAAGATGAAACAGGTCTTCCCTAACTCTTTTGCTAAGTGCTAACCGCAATGGTCTTAAACGTCTGGTTGCATATTTTTGTACAATCTGTTCTGTCTGGATTATAGATTTACTTTTATATACATACAGATGGATAAAACAGGATAAAACAGAAAGACACACACACACTTTGGTTTGGTTCTGAAGTTTATTTGTCGATTGTTTTAAGTCTGAATATCTGTATTGTAATTATAATGCACTGGAAGTCAACAGAAATGTCGTTTAAAACTAATAGTAACAATTTTATACTTGATAAAATAATTATTACATAGTTATTACATGTTAACTATGTAATAAATTAGATTATTGGATATTTTAAATTCTCTGTTGGCTTCAAATGGAATGTTACTCTAAAAAAAGCTTTCTCAAACAAATTAATTAATTTATTTATTTATTCAACAGATTTTTTGTCGTCCACATAGATTGACTGATGTTGAGTGAGGTTATTGGTACTTTATAAGATATTCCGGGTATACTTGATTGGGATCAAATATAATAAATATTGTGGGATTATTGGCATCATTCACACAACTGTCAAATGCGTTTTCATCGTCTGGCTTAAGTAAATCTTGTTTTCCAAGTTTAAATTTCCCAACCATCACCCGAGCAAGAAATATGCTTTTAGTGTTTCCATCAGGTGTGCTGTTGGTACTGTAGTTGTCTGCATATGCTGCATGGATGGCAAAGTATATACCTGTAAAGAGACAAAGAACAACGAAATTCAGACAGGTTTTATATTTTAATTTCACAAACACGATTCGTGACAGTGGCTGTCTTACCGTTACCAAATGTTCTTCCGTTCTTCTTAGGCATCCGTAAGTCAAAGTTATACTTGCAGATGCTGTCCACGTTTTTAGTGTCGGTCCCGTGGAAAAGGCGCCTTTCAGGAATATTTTGGACGCTTTTAATTTTCATAAGCTGTCTCTTTTTCCTGAAGAACGCAGAGAGTGATAATTGGTTTAAAAAAAACAAAATAAAATAAAATCACAGGCGGAAAATGATTAATAATCACAAAGTCTCAATGTAAAAGCTTTTTCTTACCTGCAGTATATTTCCCAGAGTTCCAGATTCTGTATTCTGCTTATTGATACGATGGATTTGGATAGGAGACCATCATGGCTCACGTAATCTGCCACAGTCTTGTACTCTGAGGTGAGCTCACTCAGTCGGATCAGCTTAAAAACATGACACACACATACAGTACCTTGAAGAGTTTTTTTTTTCCCTTAAATTTTTTCCCCATTTTGTCCTATTCCAACTAAAAACTTTAATTTAGTTTAATGGGGATATGTGTGAAAGACCAAACAAAAGAAAGGAAAAGAGTAAATAGGCAAGTGTGGCATTAATCAGAGGAGCAGCTGAGAAAACCTTTGGTAACCCTGGAGGAGCTGCAGAGATAAACAGCTTAGGTGGGGAATCTGTTGACATGACAACCAATAACATGACAACCAGTTATTGTACTGTATAGATAGATAGATAGATAGATAGATAGATAGATAGATAGATAGATAGATAGATAGATAGATAGATAGATAGATAGATAGATATTTTTTTTCATTTTGTGTTAGTCTATGGCATAAAATTAGAATAAATAAAATTCCCAGCGGTTAGTAGCTGCTACATATGAAAAAGTTCAGCAGGAGCACTAAATACTTACTAAGTGAGTCTATGAAGGTGTTCAGCAGAAACAAAAGCATGTTTCCCCCCCCCTCAGGTACCTACTAAACAGTAAAACACTCATCTTACAATATGTCATAATATGCATGAGAGAAAGGTTTCTAAAAAAAAAAAAAATGAAGTAACCACATCTCACTTGCTGAACTTCATGTAAAACTCTGTAACCTGCAGTGGCAACTAAAAACAATGGCCTTTTTTTTTTTTTTTGGGAATGTCACGACTTGTATAAATATTTTTTGTGGCAAAAAAGAATTTTTTTAAATATTTTCCAGCTCCATTATGTAGTATCAGATAGAATAAACGTACTATATAACTACACACAAACAAACTTAAGCATATGGTCGAATAATACTTTTAGTACACAATTACATATTTAAATGTTAAATTCATTCATAGAAAAAAAAATGAAATCAGCTGTTTTAGTTTCCTGTGTAAAATGTATTTAAAGAATAACTTCAATTGTGTGAGATCCCAGTGTGGAGCAAGTAACTCCAATCAGACCAATCAGATTTGCTGCGGCACATCAATATAAAATAAATACAGAGTTGAATGGCTTCAATAATTAGTCATTTAATATTTAATTTAATATTTAATATATCCATTTCATATTATTATTACTTCACTCTTACTTATATTATTATTACTTCACTCTTACTTATATTTTATTTTTGATTCCACAGTCATATTTTGTTTTTCTAACTCATGTTTCAGAAATGGAACAATCGTGTAAATATTTTTATCTGAAAAATGTTATTTTTTGAATGTGAGGTAAAACATTCATTCGTCATTCACTTTAACCCTTATCCCCCTGTGAGTATCCCCCCGAACAGGTGCCCTCACAGAGGGTAA